TCCCTAAACATTAGTAGAAGTCTACTATACCCAAGTGCCTGATTCTTTGGCGGCATCAAGAGAAAGACTGTGTATTCAGTGTTTCGAAAGACATAGCAAGACAGCAAGAACCACATACCCTGAGACACAGAGAAACTGGCAGAAAATTAGAACAAGTGATGCCCAGGAGACATGTAAGTCCCATGAGAACCCCCAGAGATGCTGGGGGTACTACTGGGTGTCCCACTGTAGGTAAGGTGGGAGCTCAAGCAACTTGCATTTGAATACTAAGGGATGGGCCAACTTCACAAGGGTGAAAGATTTCTAACTACTCAGAAGACAGATATCTGGAGTACATTAGTGAGCCTCATGAACTTCACAGCCTCAATTAAACTCAACTGGGCCCAGTCAGGCCTTTATTCCCAGCCTTGCTCACTGCAGTTCCTACCCCAATGCAAATAAGAGATACACCTTCAGGAAGTGATTTTTCTTTTCTGGTGCTTTCTGAGATCTAGTGCATTAAAAAGATTAAGGGAAGAAAAAAAATAGGTATAGAAAATAGGCAAAGGAGAGCCAACTGATGCATAATTGGAATCCTCGAAGAGAACAAAGCAATGAAATACATTAGCTATTTAAAGATAAGGGGCAGTGAGTTTATCTTAATGGTGGTGGAATAATTTGGAAAAGGATATTAAGAATGGTTGCACAACTTGAAATGTTTCGGACATAAAAAAAGGACTTCAATCTACATTTGAAAAAGACACTATGAGATATAGTCTAGTAATGTTGTTATTAGTTGCCATTGAGTCAGCTCTGACTCATAGTGACTGTTATAGATTGAATTGTATCCCCCTCGAAAAAATATGTGTCAGCTTGGCTAGATCACGCTTCCAGTATCGTGTGATTTTCCTATGTGTTGTAAATTCTATCTCTATGATGTTAATGAGGCAGGATTGGAGGTAGTTATTTTGATGAGGCAGGACACAATCTACAAAATTAGGTTGTATTTTAAGTCAACCTCTTTTTAGATATAAAAGAAAGAAGCAAACAGAGAGACAGGAGGACCTCATACCACCAAGAAAGTAGTGGCAAGAGCAGAGCGTGTCCTTTGGACCAGGGGTCCTTGAGCTGAGAAGCTCCTAGACAAGGAGAAGATTGATGACAAGGACCTTCCCCCAGAGATGACAGAGAAAGCCTTCCCCTGGAGCTGGTGCCCTGAATTCGGATTTCTAGCCTCCTAGACTGTGAGAGAATAAAACTCTATTTGTTAAAGCTATCCACTGTTATAGCAGCATTAGACAACTAAGACAGAATTTGGTATCAAGGGTGGGGTGCTCTAACAGATACCTAAAATATGGAAGCAGTTTTGAAGCTGTGAATGGATAGAGGCTGGAAGACTTTTAAAGTGCCTAACAGTAAAAGCCTAGATTGCCTTGAAGAGACTGTTGGTGGAATTATGTACATCAAAGGCAATTCTGCTGAGGACTCAGAAGGAAGTGAGGAGGGCTGTTACACTGGAGACGGCATAGACAGCGAGAAGCTGTAGCAGAACCAGGAGACCAGCATGAGATAGCACTGGAGCCAATCCATGGAACGAAGAGAGGTGAGTGCCTTCAGGGGGGCAAGGAAACTAAAGGACTGGAAACTGTGTAACAGAACAAAACATTGCTCCGTCCTGTGCCATCTTCATGACTGTTGGATATTTGAGCGCATTGTTGCAGCTATTGTGTCAATCCATCTCATTGAGGGTTTCCCTCATTTTCACTGACTCTCTACCAAAATTTAAAAATGAAGAATCTGTAGGGCACCCAGGCAAAATGATCAAGCAGAAAAGCTCCAAAATTTTTTTGAACTTAGAACAATATAGACATATGAGGTCATGTAGAAATAAGGAATCAAAGAGGAAAAAACTGAAACTGTAGAATTTCTAGAAAATATCAATAGTGTCAAAACCTATGGGATACAACTGAAGGAGTGGTCAGAGAAGAATTCTTAACTTTAATGTTAACATCACTAAAAAAGATTGAAATAATTCAACTATCTCAAAGATTAAAATATGTACATGGGGCTTGTAAATTAATCTACACCTGACAGAACTTTTTAAAAATGGTATTTTGTTTAAATTTCTATTCTGAAGAACTGTCTGCTTTCCCAAAGACAACTTGCTACCCTTATTATTATTGTTGTCAGTTTGGGAAAATATTGGCTGAACTTGGGTTCCTAAGGCAACTGGAGGTGTAGAAAGTTCAAACCTACCTTTTGATTATTAAAGAATTTGGGATGTTAAAAAAAAAAAAAAAAGACTGAAAACAGAAGAATTGTCATTAAAAAAAAACTCATTGCCATCGAGTTGATTCCAACTCATAGTGATCCTATAGGACAGAGTAGAACTGCCCCAGAGGGTTTCCAAGGAGCACCTGGTGGATTTGAACTGCCAACGTTTTGGTTAGCAGCCGTAGCTCTTAACTACTATGCCACCAGGATTTCAGAGGGAGACAAACCAAATGAAAACGGAAGGAAGCAATGAGTTTCTGTTTATGGTGATAGGAATTCTGGCATTGACTAAGGGTAATCGCTGCATATTAATACAACCGATCTCACTAAGCTGTATACCTAAAAGAGGTTGGATTGGTAAATGCTGGGTTGTATATATATTTACAACAACAAAAAAGAGCAGCTGTGGTTACAGCTTATGTACAAACATCTGGTTTCTTGATTTGGAGATTTAGGGTCATGGTCTTGTGGGAAAATCCAGTCAATTGGTGTAATATTATTTTTAAAGTCTCTTTTCTACTTACCAGTTTGGGTAGATAGTGTCTAACTAGTGTCTGGGGTCTTAAAAGCTTGCACACAGCCATCCAAGGTACAATTGGTCTCTATTTGCCTAGAGCAGCAGAGAAAGGAGAGTCAGGAATTGGAGGAGGAATTGGAGTATGGGGCTAATTGCGTCCACGAACAACTACTGCCTCCTCTGCCACGAGACCAGAAGAACTGGTTGGTGCCTGACTGCCATTACTGAATGTTCTGATCAAAGATTCTATAGAAGAATCCTGATCAAAAGGGGGGGGGGAATATGTAACAGAATTTAAAATTATCATGGATCCAGACTTTCTGGAGCCATTGAAGCTGGATTAAACCCCTGAAACTATTGCCCTGAGGTAATCTTTCAACCTGAAACTAAAAATATTCCCCTGAATTTTTCTTTAAACCCAACAATAGCTTAATTAGTAAAGAATGTCTGCCTTAAGCATTGTATTCTTTTAACGAATGTACGTGATCAAATTGACAACAGCAACTCAAAAGGTTAGATGAAAAGCTTAGGGGCAGTGAGTTTATCTTAATGGTGGTGGAATAATTTGGAAAAGGATGGTGAGAATGGCTGCACGACTTGAAGAGTGTAATCAATGTCACTGAATTGTACGTGTAGAAACTGTGGAAGTGGTGTGTTTTGCTATGTACTTTTTCACCAAAAAAAGGTGGGGGGAAAAAAAAAAGCAGAAGGAGTTAACGAAAATAAAAGCAGAAATCAATGCATAATATTGGCTTTTATTTCTTAAGTTGGGTACTTGGATGCTCATTATATAATTTTAAACAAATTCTGAGCACTTTTTTGTAAGGCTGAAATATTTCACAACAATTTTCAGGTTAGGTAAACTATCTACATGATAGATAAGAATAGAAAAGAATAAGGATGCTATTTATATACTGCTATAAAAAGATCTCCGGGATACACTGTTTAGTGAAAAAAGCAAACACAGAATCCTATACATAATAATAGGCTGCCTTTTGTGTAAGAAAATGTTGTGGAGCAGAAAGTAGACTAAGAACACATGTTCATATGCATTGTATTTATAAAAAGAAAAAACTGGAGATATGTAAGAAACCTAGAAAGCTATTATCTATGGGAGGATTGGGAGGAACAAGGTGGATGGGGTGGGAGTAAGGTTTCTCAGTGGAAACGTTTTTATCATTTTGATGTCTGAACCATGAGAATGTATTACGTATTCAGAAAATAAAATTTAATTTTTAAAAAAATCTTTAAAAGTCAAGGCCACTTTAATTGCTTGAATAAATGTACAGAGCCTGATTAAGGGGTCACCAAGTGTGACATCTGACAAACAAGCATATGTTAAACGTTTACAATAAAGTCTATGAACAATTTTTTAAAAGATAAGCATTGAACTCTGGTGGACACGCTGGGCAGCAGTCTGCAGTGCCACAGGATTAGAAAACCACTCTGCCCTGAAGCAGATGTGACAATGCAGGCCTCTTTAGGTCTCCGAGGACAGAGGGTGATTTGTGGTACTCTGTGACAGAGAAGATGGCCTCATGCCAACGGGGCGTGGTGGGGGTGGTAGGAGGCATGGCCAGTGGCCTTGGCTGCAGACCTGAAAGGACAAAATCCTGATCATCAGTGCTGCCTCCTAAGTGGGCATGGGAGAGCCAGACTGGGAGCCAAAGGGCAAGCATGAGGTGGGGCCTACACTGGGCACCTGCACCTGTACCCTGACTACCTGGGACGAGGCTCATCCAGCCCATGCCAAGAAAACCTCACCTCCAGGTAACAGGCAGATCATGAAAATGTATGCGAATTAACTTTTATTTCCAATGTAATAATTTTGAACCACCACTAGAAGCTGCTGATTAAAGATCCCCTAATATCCCCTAAATACGGAGCCCTGGTGACACAGCTGTTAAGAGCTTGGCTGCTAACTAAAACGTCAGCAGTTCAAATCTACCAGCCGCTCCTTGGAAACCCTATGAGGCAGTTCTACTCTGTCCTACAGAGCTGCTGTGAGTTGGAATCCACTTGACGCCAACAGGTTTTAATATCCCACCCATATCCCTTTGAGCCTTACCATTGTGCAGCAGGCCAGCTCCAAACTGCCTGAGGGCTTTTTCTGGGGGCAGAAAGATCCAGGGAATTTCCCACCTCACTGATGGGAATAAGTGGAGAAAAAGCCCATCCCTCTCACCACTCAGATGAGATCAGAGGTGAATGTTGTACACTGGTCCCCAGAGGTCCCCAGAAGGACTGAGCTCCCTCCCCACAGTGGTAACTGGCTGCCTTGCCTTCTCTTCCTTTCCTCAGCTCATTTCCCTAATCCCCCTTCAGTGCTTCCTTGGATCACCTCCCACATCAACCACTTGCACACAATCCTTGCCTCAGGCTCTGCTTCTCAGGAATTCATACCAACCCACTACCTGTAATGCTCATTTTGGCAAAGGAAGCAAGCACCACATCCACAGTGGGTAGATAAGGAGACAGACATTATCCGGGGGATGACAGATGGAGGCCTCCCAAGAAGCCTCTTAGGGGCAACAAGGAGTTTATCCTCATCGTTGAGCATGAAGGCTCAGACCCCCATCCAGAGAGGCGCTCATTCACGGGGCAGATGTGCATTAATCAAACTCATGGAAACAGAGGGTGAAATCACACAGCCGGAGTTTTTAATTCAAAATGAGAATGATGATGACACTGAGGCCAGGTCATTCACATCCACCTAACAGACACCTTCTCTCCCTGCAGATGAGGGAAGCCCAGGATCATCTGGAGACATGGGGTCAGAACCTAAGAAACGACAGAATCCCCCTGCGAAGGCATTTTTCCGAAATGTGGCAGGACTTGACTCTGAGCAGGCCTTGCTGACAAAATCCTTATTGATGATGGTCCACAGTGGGTGCAGAGGCAGGGTCTGTCCACATGGAGGCACAGCTCCCCCAACCCGGTTAAATGACTGAGTTTGAGAAGGTGAGGTGGGCTGAGTTCCAGGCAGCCCTTCCTCACTGCTGCAGTACTAGCGACTGGCAGAGGTGTGTGCAAGGCTGGCTGGCAGGGACGGGGAGAGGCGGATCAAGGAGCAGTGCAGTGGGCCCAGTGCAGGGTCTGAAGGAATCACGCACCTGCTGTAAGCACATGATGCTCTGTAATTCTGCTAAGCCTGGGGTCAGGCAGAGCCCTTGCCACCACACACATCCACTTGTCCTGTGTGTGCTGGCACATCAGAGCTGGGTACAGTTAAGCAGGAAGCAGATGTCACGCTTCACCTGGCTACATCGGTCCTCTGTCCTCCCTCCCTGCCCTCCTGGGCAGCCTCATCCTGACGAGGGGGTCAGAGGGGCCAGGCAGCACTGAGCTCCTTCTCCAGACCCTGGACAAGCTGGTCATTGAGGAAGAGCAGCTGACCATGGGGCAGGAAGCGGGTGAGAATGGCCTCAACACGGTCTGCCCGCAGCAGGAGGTTGGCACTGGGGGCCAGCAGGCGGAGGTGGTCAAAGAGGAAGCGTGTCAGCAGCCGGAGAGTGCCCTCGGCCAGCAGCAGGTTCTCGTGGGCATCCAGCACCAGTGCAAAGCCTAAGGAGAGCACGCCTAGCCAGACCACCGTCCGTGGCTCCTGGAAAGGGTCCCCTGCCGCCAGGCGGAAGGCACCATGTGGGGCCTCGTGCAGGGATGTTGGCTCATCCGAGGACTGGGGCGGCAGGTCCATGGGGGAACGGCCGGATGCCTGCTGCTGCAGCCGGCACATGGACTCCACCTGCCTGGGAACAGTGGGCAGATCAGGCCAACAGTGAGGGGCCTGGTGAGGCTACCACCGCAGCCCACATGCACATGGACATCCATCATCCTCATAACCACCTCTGGGGCCGGGAGCTGCCCCATTTCTCAGATGAGAAAACTGCGGCCCAGAGAGACTAACTGACCTGCCCAGGGCCACATGGCCAGGAAGCACTTCACTCCATTTGGCCAAGAGAAAGGACATTTTGAAGACAGCTTCTGGGGCTGGAAAGGAAACCCAGGCAGAAGATCCTGGCCCACCTGCTTCACAGAGGCCTCCTCACCATAAAGACAAGCAGGTAATAAGTGGAATAAAAGACGTCACCCAACCTGAGCTGTCCAACCTCTCCTCCCTTGTCTGATCCTGCAACCCACTCCAAAAAAAAAAAAAAGCTTTTGAATCCACCCTCTGATCCTTCCTGAATTGCCTTCCACTTTGGTCCCTGAACAGGCTGGTTTCAAAGGCATTTGCTTGGCTTCCTGTGCTACAGAGAAGGGGAGGAGGCCGCGAAGAACAAGGGGAGGGGTTGGGGGCAGCAGACTGGCACAGGATCACTCCAAGAGTGTTAACCATCCCCCACCAACACACACAGAACACAGAGGGGCCAGAAGACTCTGGCCCCTGCTGGCTCTGTCTGAGCCCAGGGAGCAGGGGAGGTTCTAAGGCCAGCTACCCCAGTCTGGAACAGTCTTTCCCAAACTGTGCTCTGTGGAACACAGGCCTTCGGGAGGCTCTGAGCAGAGTCCCCACGTACCACACTCTCCCCCCTCCTCAGAGATTCACAGAGTCTACAGGAATACTAAAGGCCCTGAGAAGTTCTGCACTGCAAAGCATTTTTAGTCTGTACCAGGGTCTGCCTGCCTACACTCACATCCAGTTCTGCTGCTTTCTAGCGGTGTGACCTTTGGCAGGTTAAGCTCCTTAAGCTCTGTCTCAGTTTACTTATCAGTAAGGTGGGGATAATAATTGTACCTACCTCAAAAAACTGTTACAGGATTAAAAGAGTTAATATTCATGATATGCTCAGAAAAGGACTCAGCACATAATTTCCTTCTTTCCAGCTGCTGTTGAGTCAATTCTGACTCATGGCAACCCCATGTGTATCAGAAAGGAACTGTGTTGCATAGGGATTTCAATGGCTGATTTTTCAGATGTAGATTGCCAGGCCTTTCTTCTGAGGCATCTCTGTGTGGACTCAAACCTCCAACCTACAGTTAGTAGCTGAGTGTGTTAACTGTTTGCACCACCCAGGGACTCCTCGGCACCTAATTACAGGCTCAGTGAATACTAACCATAATAATAATAACAATAACATCATTATTATTTCTTTAACCCTTTTTTGTCTAATACTTAAGAACAACTATGGAAGACCATTTGGGAAACACTTCTCTAAAACTTCGTCTCTGCTTCTTTGTCCTGCCATTTCCCTGTGCTGCCCAGAAAACTACCACAATTAGGCATGTGTTGGATGAAAGCCCGGGTCTGGGCTAGGCAGTTACCTGGCCACGGCCAAAATCTGCTCCTTGCGAAGCAGCCTGTCCCTCTCGGCACCATGTGGCCTTGGGTCATCAGGTGACTTCTCAGCAGCAAAGACGCAGGAATAGAGCACTCGGCAGAAGCCTGTGTCCTCGGCATGTGGGGCCCGCAGGGTGTGGATGAGGAAGGCGTGGACCATGGCTCCCAGGCAGGTGTGCAGGGAAGTCAGAGACCTCGGTGAGATGAGAGTGAAACCCCACCTGGGGGCGCCCGCAGAAAGGGTCTGGCCTAGCAGGATCTGTGAGTGTGACCTGTTTGCCCACCTAAGACACATCCCAGCCTCTGAATAATGGTGCCTGGTCAACGTCACCTTTGGTGTTCCTACCAATAACCGAGCCTAATGGTGGAGAAACTCAGACAACTCCAAACCTAGTTCTACAAAACGAGTGGCCAGGAATGTTCACAAATGTCAAAGACATGGGAGCCAAGGGAAAACTGAGGAATTGCTCCAGATTGAAGGAGACCTGCCAGCTGAACACGTGTTCCTGGATTGGCTCCTGGATCAAGAAAAAGGTAATTTCAATAAAGGACGTTATTAGGACAACTGGAAAAACTTTGAACGTGGACTATGGGTTAGATATGGGTCAGTCTTGATCAATGTTAATTTCCTGATTTTGAATGTAGGAGGGTGTCCTTTTCTTAGAAGTTGCACACTGGTGTATTTAACAGTTGTTGATGTTAGTTGCTGTAGAGTTGATTCCAACTCATGGCGACCCCATGTGTGCAGAGTAGAACTGTTCCATAGGGTTTTTGGAGCTGCGACCTTTAGGAAGTAGATCGCCACGCCTGTCTTTCAAGGCGCCTCTGTGTGGGTTCAAACCTCCAACCTTTTGGCTAGTAGTGCAGCGCTTAACTGTGTGCGCCACCCATGGGCTCCTGTATTTAGGGGTAAAAACCCACTGCTGTCAAGTCGATTTTTACTCATAGGAACGCTTTGAGGGTAGAACTGCTCTATAGAGCTTCTAAGGAGTGGCTGGTGGATTCGAACTGCCTACCTTTTGGCTAGCAGCCAAGCTCTTAACCACTGCGCCACCAGGGCTCCATATTTAGGAGTAAAGAAGCATAATATCTGTAACTAACTCTCAAACGGTCCAGGATGGGAAAAAAAAAAAAAGAAAAGAAAAATAAAGCAAATGCGGCAAGATATTAACAACTGGTGAATCTTATTAAAGGGTATACGAAAATTCTTACAATTTTCTGTAAGTTTGAAATTATTTCAAAATAAAGATTACTAAATAATAATGGTATCTGAGTTTGGCTGGCCCAGTGACCGGCCAGAAAGGCGGGGCGGAAAGGCAGCGGGTACACAACAAGCAGATATCTATACTCAAGGCTAAATAGATCATCGATCTAAAATTGGTCAAAACGAAGGTTTGCGAATGCGCTTTGAGAACCTGAGCCCAGCGATCCGACACTTACCTCCGGTGACCCTCCAGCCGCACGAAAGGTGCGTCAACAGCCCTCGACAACAGGTGCCCCTCCACCAACGGAAAAATGGTAGCGGCCAAGACTCCCTTACGTCACTGCATCGCGCAACCCTGAGTCGCAATGTACTCTGGGGGTTGTAGTTCTTTACTCCAGTCAGCTTGGCCAAAGAGGGACATCCGTCCCTGAGCGTTCCGACCCGGGCGGCTGTCTTCTAGGCGTTGCATTCACCCTTGCTTACGAGTCTGCGGACTTCTAGTAACCGGCCGCTCCACCTGGCGGCAGGGTGAGCAATGGCAGCGGCGCGGCCCGTCAGCGCCTGCGCACGCTTGTTTGCGCACGCGCACGAGCATGGCGCGCTCGGCGTGGGCGGGGCGGGCCTGTTTGGATCGTGGTGCAAGGGGTGCGTGGCGGTGATTTCCGACGGCTGACCTCGGGCCATGGGTGATTTCTACCGTAGGACCAAAGACACCTGCTCCGAGCTCAGTGGGGTGGGGGCCACATCGGTCACTCCCAGAAAGGGTACGCAGGGTCCCCGCTCGAAGCCCTGGGCAAACCTAACCCCACGTCACCGACTCCGGCGACCGCGAGGGGGCGCAGCCGCCCGACAGTGACCCCGCGCAGGGACTTTCCGGAAGAAATCGAGTGGCCGTGTCGCTGCCAGTGGGCTGGATTAGGACCCGCCGAGGCGCCTCCCAGCCTTATGAGGCGTGTGGGGCCGCGGGTGGACCCAGGGTTCGGGCCGGAGCAGCCTGGAGGTGTGGGGCTGGCTAAAACGCAGATCCCTGGGCTTTGCCCCTGGAAATTATGATTTTGGAGGGAAATTGCATACTTAGGCAGTTTCTTGGGGGATTCTGGGTTGTGGGTTCCTGCAGTGGGTTAAGGCTTGGGCCGGGTTTGGAGTCGAACGATTTGAACGCCGGTCCCATTCCTGTCACTAGCTGTGTGTCTCTGGCAGGTTAGTTGACCTCCTGGGGCTCCAGTGAAGCCCCATAGGGTTAGTAGGGCCGACCATTTTTCCCTTTCATACTCCCACCTCCAACAAGCTTTCTCGCTTGAGCGAGACCATGTCAGGTATAGTGAAGAGACTTATATGTTAGACCCAAAAAGGGCACTGCCGGCCACCAGCCTCTCAGCTCTGCAGTGGGGGAAAGCCCAGACTTGGAGGCTTGGCGCTGGGGGCTTAGCCAGCCTCACTGCCTGCCCTGGGTGCTGCACACACACTCCCATACCTCACGGCAGGCGTGTGACCCTCCTGTAGCTCACCAGATGGGGCCCAGCGTTCTCTGCCGCAGAGCCCTCCACACTGGCTGCTCCCTCTTCCTAGAATGTCCTTTTCTCCCTTTTCTTACCCTCAAAATGCACTCAGACCAAAACTCGGGGAAGCTGTCCTGCCTGGGCTGTCCATTGGCATTCGGCTGCCCCCTTTGCATCCATGGTGAGTCGGCCTGCGGTGGTGATGTCTCCCATGGGGTACACCCAGGGTATCGTACCCATCTTCACTCCCCAGGGCCACGTACAGGGCAGGACTGGGGCCGATGAGAGCACACTCCTTGGTAACTGTAGAAATGAAGGGAAGGGCAGGGCAGCCCAGACAGGACCCCAAGAACCAGGACCCTCCAAGGGAGTGTACTTGGGCCCGTCAGACCATAGAACCTGGGACTGGGTGGAAGGGAGGCTTAAGGAGGTGATGGGAGCTGATGAGGGGATGTGGGTGTTTTGACTACAGCTACAACATACACATGTAACTGTAGGTGGAGAAGTGGGCCCCAGAGACACTGCAGGACCTCGGCCACAGGATGGGGGGCGATGTTGGCTCAGTAGGAACAGTTCCTGATCCAGGGCCTCATCCCTATCTCTGTCAGCCAGGCCTCATGTCTGCCAGCTGATTACAGTGGAGAGCTGGCAGCGGGTTCCGGTTACTGGGACCACAGAAGGGTGCCTCGCCAGCCCCACCTGGCGTCTGGGAACGTGGTATTCAGGCCTCTAGGAGACCTGCCTTGTGTGGGGTGGGTGGAATAAATAGGCCTGAATCACCTACCCTGGAGGGCAGTGAGGGGCCCAGGTGAAGGTGGCATCAGGGAGGTCTTCCTCAGCCTTGGTGAGGGAGAGTCTTCCCTGAAGGTTTTGCTGGGAGGCTGCTTGCAGGTATGCTCTGGGAGATCCCTTCTCCTTGGCCATTGGCCTCGCTTGGGTCCAGCCAACACTTGTGAGAGCGTGTATGCTAGGCACCATCTGAATGTGCACTGATGCTGGCTCAGACAGTGTTTAAAACAGCCCTGCAGTACCTATGCAGGAGACCTGCTCTGTGCTACTCTGCGCTGGGACCCAGCAGTCCCACCCCTGGAACGTACCTGAGCAAAGTGAGGGCTAATGTCCACCAAAAGACCTGGACTAGAATATTCATAGCAGCTTTCTTAATTGCCCCAAACTGGAAACTATGCAAATACCCATCAGCAAGGGGATGGCTAAGTAAATTGTGGTATGCTCATACAGTGGAATACCATGCAGCGATGAAAGAGAATAAACTGCTAATACATGCATCGTGGATGTATTTCACTCACAGACACACTGAGTGAAAGAAGCCAAACACAAAAGTGTACGTAGCATGTGACCCTGCTCATAGAAAAGGTACAAAACCAGGCAAACCTGGTCACAAGTCAGAATGGTGGTTACCGTTGGGGAGAAATCATGGAGGGGCACAAGGAGGGTTTGGGGGCCAGCTACATTCTGGGTCTTCATCTGGGTGGTGATTAGGGGGTGTGGACTCTTACGTGCATTTTTCTGTATGTTTAATTCACCAAAAACTTTAAATCAAAGGTGGGAACCCCAGCCAGCAGGTAGCACTGCCCGCCTCCCTCTCAGTCTCATATATGACTCGTGTCCATCCACGGACTGTGATGTCTCACTAAGATGACAGTTGTTTACTTTGAAGTCTGGTTTTAATCTGTGAGCTAAGTATGTGATATCATCTTTCCCCTGCACTAGAAGAGCACAGGCTGTATTTGGGCCTGGTTAAGATTTTTAACATAAGAAGAAACTTTGGGCACAGCCTCTTAATTGACAGATGACTAAACAGGCTCAAAGCTGTTCCCCGAGGTGGCTGATGTCACACAGCACAATGCCAAGCCGAAGGTGGGGCCTGAGAACCTCTGTGCCTAGGGCATGAGCTCTGCTCCCCGTGGCAGCCAGAGTGGAGGTAAGACAGGCTGGAGACAGACTAGGAGGGTGGAGGACTTGAACAAGAGTGAGTAGGATGGCATGTCCTGAAAGAAAGGCAAATGTGCCACTGTCCGCTCATTGAGGTGTTCATTGCTCATTCTGCTAGGCCTGTCCTCTGGGTGCTTAGAGTGTCCAGCAGGCTCTGTGCAGACAGGTACAATAGCCAAGACAGGAGTGAAGAGAGAGGACCAGCAGATTCAGGAGAGGAACCCTGGAGGAATAATCTGGGAAGGCAACATGGAGGAGGTGGCATCTGATTCGGGATTTCTGGAGAGGTAGAAGTGTAGCAGCTGCAGCCGGCAGGAAGGGCATCTGGATACATGGACTAGATTAGGGCAAACACAAGGGGTGGAGAGGAGCCAGCCTTCCTGGACTCAGGGTCCAGTGCCCTCCCTTCCTCATGTAGAAGACCCAGAGCCCAGTCAGAAATGCCTTCAAAGCCTTCCTAGCAGGTGGGGCACTACATGAGCCAGATCTGACACAGGCGGTAGGATCCACCTAGGTGGGGCCTCAGGAAAGCCATAATTTTCCAGATAAGGGAATGCCATTCCCTGACTTTTTGCCACCCTCAGCCATCTTGAGCCCCTAAAGTCAAAAGCCATATGCTGAGGACAGCGAGGCAGGAAGGGGCCTGGGTCCCCAGAGATGGCATAGCCATGCACCACTACTACAGCTGTCACCCCAAAGCTTTTTTGCTGAGTGAAGAGTATACACATTTATTTGGTTAAGCTGCTGTGCTGGGTTTCTGTTATATGCAGCCTAACGCATTCCCAAGTGATGAAGTATGTTAAGGTGGGCAGGGTGGGTGAATTCTGGAAGGGCAGGGCAGAGCCTGGCACATAGTAGGCACTCAATAAATTAATAAATGTTGACAACCATTAATCCAGAGGCAGGGTAGGGGTAGGTGTCAGGCCTTGATCAGCCCTGGGACAGTTGGAGCCTTCTGGGTCTGGTGGCAGCTCAGAGGCATGGTGATAGACAGGCTGGACCTCCTGGTGCTTTCTGGGCTTACAAGACCCACCCTAAAGACAGAACAGTCTGTGTTGAGGCCAGTGTGCGTGCAAGCGTGTGAGGCTATTATAGTGGTAAATCCAGAGCTTGCGACGGGCCCAGCACACAATAGCTGCGGATGTGGGTTTGTGGGTTATGGATAGAATGTGTGTGTGACAGAGATACACCCCCACTGCCTGCATCTACTGCTCTCTACGCACATCGGAGTCCTGTCCCCACAGTGGCAGATGGCTGGTGCCCACTGCTGGGACATGCAAACCACGACATATTGACTCAATTAGGAAAGTGAGTTCCACTCCCCACCTACCCAAGCCACAGCCAGTCCGGAATCGCTGAGAGGCAGCCAGGCTTGGGGTGCTCTGCTGTAGTCCTCATCCCTTTCTCAAGCCAATTCTTCTCAAAGACGTCAGTACCAACCCAGTTTCTGCTTACACACCTTCAGGGACAGGGAACTTACTCCCCCAAACAGTTCCGTCGGTGGTTGGTTGTGTGTGTGTGTGTCCATGTCTGTGTGTGCCCACGCGTGTGCACAACCATCACCACCATTTCCAAACCTTTTCATCACCCCAGACAGACACTCAGTACCCATTAAGCAGTAATTCCCCATTTCCCCCTCCCGCTAGCTCCTGGTAGCCACTAATCTACTTTCTGTCTCTGCTTTGCCTATTCTAGGTATTTCACATAAGTGAGATCCTGCAATACTTGTCCTTTGAAGACTGATGTATTTCACTTTGCATAATGTTTTCAAGTTTC